GTTCATTCTGTTCCAAGGGGTGACAGGTTGGGCGATTCCATTATGTTTTGAGGGGTGACATGTTGGGCGATTCCATTCCATTTGAGGGGTGACAGGTTGGACGATTCCATTATTTTTGAGGGGTGACAGGTTGGATGAGTTCATTCTGTTGACAGGGGTGACAGGTTGGGCGATTCCATTCTATCTTTAGGGGTGACAAGTTGGGGGAAATTCAAATTTTTGGCATATCTTGAATGTTGTCTTTAACCACTTTCTAATTTTAAATGTTTAATTTTTGAGTTGAAAAATTCAACATTAATCAATTTGTGATACAAAACCCAGTATCCACAAGGCCTGTACTTTACTAAGACAAGTGGAAAATATTTTCTGGGAATGAATTTGTTCCAAGGAATTTAAAAACAATCTTGTACAAAACGTAGAACAAATTTCCAAAAGGCAAGTAAATTGGAATTGTTGGAAAAATCTTGTAAATATATTCTTTCAGAATGTCACTTCCATTTAATGTTCATTTTCTATCATTTACAAAATACTGGGTTTGTTTTTAAAGCTTTTAGACCATTTTCAGATTCAAATATTGTAGGAATTTGTCAATTGCAAAGACAATATATATTGATCATAGCATATCAAATGTGAAAATGTCTAAATACTTATCACTGCTTATGACTAATTCATACAATCTTACTACTCCTTTCCACTTATTATTATAATATCTTAATCATCATCACATAATATCAAAACAAACAACAAGTAATTACAAAGGTGTTTATTCAGTTTTAATATAATAAATGCATGGTTTGGCGTCGGATTCCTGGCCGTGAACTGAACGTTGCTTTCCAGAGCTTCTTGATGGGCTACTGAAATGAGAAAATAATGTATTCAATATTTGATTTAACGACCAGGCTTTAATGATATGATTCATGTGTGCAACATCATAAACAGGGAGATGGCACTTGAACTTAAAAAGACATGCGTGTTTACTGGCCTGTTCGAAGTTCAGGTCCATTTAGCAAAGAAAAAAGCTGGACTTCTGAATGTGAGGTTGTCTTTCGCCAAAATAATGATCTCAAATGATTTTGATAAATTTTGAGAGATCTTGCAAAATACACCACATTTTTTTTTCATTTACGGTGGTTATAACTACGGTCGTTTATAAAATGTGTATATATGTATATGTTGGATGGTACAATATTTATATTCTCTGTGCATCACGTGTTTGGGGGTAACGTTTGAATGATATATGCACGTATGGAGTATTTTAGAAAATTTTAGAAATGATATTAAATGAAACACAATTTGGATGCACGTAAAATTTGCTGTTTGCCGTGTTATGAATGAACAACTTGCGTGTCAGCGGAGACGGCAGAGAAGTCGAGTAAATATGGATGAGCAATTGACAGGCGCCTGTGTGTGTGTGTGTGTGTGCGTGCGTGCGTGTTGTATTATATAAAGCATACATACCTTACAAAGCGTTCTTCAGCCCAAACCTCATCTGAAATAAATAAGAACTTTTATAGCTAATAATAATAATAATAATCTATTTCTCAAAATTGCACCACACAAAGGTCTCAGCACTGCTTTTAAACATTCTGTATAAAATCTAAAATAATTCAAAAGCACACAGGCTAATTTGAATGTAATGACACACAACCCAAAGGGGCCTAAATCAACCATTAGGCCACACTTTTTTATTTTTATGGATGACATCCTCTGGGGACCCCAAAGTCGGTGCGAGCGGGCGAAAAAAAAAAAAAACAGTCCAAAAAAAAAAAAAAA